CAAGTATGCAATGACAGAAGGATGGCGAGAGGTGGATGAGCTAACTGTATAGGCAGGAATCTGTGGGTATCTACAGCTTTTCAGGGCCAAAACAACTCCATTGGGCAGTCCTCAGTATTTCAGTCCAGTGAGTATCAGCCACCTTTGTCAATTCACAGAGGACTCATTTTTCTTATTTGTATTTTTTTTTAAATATATTTTATTGATTGTGCTATTACAGTTGTCCCATTTCCCCCTTTATTCTGCTCTGCCCTGCACATGCCCTCGCACCCTCATTCCCCCATTTTAGTTCATGTCCATGGGTCCTATATATAAGTTCTTTGGCTTCTACATTTCCTATACTATTCTTAACCTCCCCCTGTCTATTTTCTATCTACCATCTATGTTACTCATTGTCTGTATCTTTTCTCCCTCTCCCCCGCTCCAAATCCTCACTGATAACCCTCCACGTGATCTCTATTTCTATGATTCTGTTTTAGTTGTTTGCTTAGTTTGTTCTTGTGTTTGTTTTTTTAGGTTTGGTTGTTAATAGGTGTGAGTTGTCATTTTAATGTTCATATTTTTTATCTTTTTCTTAGATAAGTCCCTTTAACATATCATATAATAAGGGGGGTGGATGACACTCTCCTTGAAATTGACCTTATCTGGGAAGTATTTTATCTGCCCTTCCATTCTAAATGATAGCTTTTGCTGGATAGAGCAATCTTGGATGTAGGTCCTTGCCTTTCATGACTTGGAATACTTCTTTCCAGCCCTTTCTTGCCTGCAAAGTTTCTTTTGAGAAATCATTTGACAGTCTTATGGGCACTCCTTTATAGGTAACTCTCTCCTTTTCTCTTGCTGCTGTTAAGATTCTCTCCTTATTTTTAATCTTGGCTAATGTAATTATAATGTGCCTTGGTGGGTTCCTCCTTGGGTCCAACTTCTTTGGGACTCTCTGAGCTTCCTGGACTTCCTGGAAGTCTATTGCCTTTGCCAAATTGGGGAAGTTCCCCTTTATTATTTGTTCAAGGAAGTTTTTAATTTCTTGTTCTTTCTCTTCTCCTTCTGGCACCCCTATGATTCAGATGTTGGAGCATTTCAAGATGTCCTGGAGGTTCCTAAACCTCTCCTCATTTTTTTGAGTTCTTGTTCCTTCATTCTGTTCTGGGTGGATGTTTCTGTCTTCCTTCTGCTCCAAACCATCAATTTGAGTCCTGGTTTTCTTCCATTCATTGTTGGTTCCCTGCAGATTTTTCTTTATTTCACATGATGCAACCATCATTGTTGCCTGGGTCTTTTTGATGCTGTTGAAGTACCCAGTGAGGTCCTGGAGCATCCTGATAACCAGTGTTTTGAACTGTGCATCTGATAGTATGGCTATCTCTTCATTGCTTAATTGTATTTTTTCTGGAGCTTTGATCTGTTCTTTCATTTGGGCCATTTTTTTTTTGTCGTGGTGCACCTGTTAGGTAGTAAGGGGTGAAGCCTTAGGTGTTTACCACGGTGAGGCAACCCTCATCCCTGTGTTGTGATGCTGTAAGAGGGGGATGGGTCTGAAGGGAAACAATGCCACTTGCTCAGCTTTCTGCCAGTTTTCAGTCACTTACCCCACTGCCCACAATCAAATCGGGCCCTTCTGATGCTGATTTCTGGGTGGGTGAGCTTGTGCACATTCTAGAACCCTGTGGGTCTCCCCAACAAACTCTCCTGTGAGGCTGGGAGTTTCTCCCACTGCCACCTCAAGCCCTACATGTGTTTTCAGTCTGAGGCTTGAAGGCTTTATTTCCCTGTGCTGGAGCCCTGGGTTTCCCAGTATGTCTTGCTCCCTAGTTGTCCCTCCCAGTTTCTGCATGTGAATATGGGACTGCCCAGTCTTCAAGCCCTCACCTCGTCCAGGGCCTCCAGGTGCCACCTTGCTGCAAGGCCTCTCTGCCCAGCTGCACATCTCTGCCCCTCCTACTGGTCTGGATGAATGTTTCTTCTTTAACTCCTTGGTTGTCGGACTTCCATGCAGTTCAATTTTCTGTCAATTCTGGTTTGTTTTTAAATTTGTTGTTGTCCTTCTTTTGGTTGTGTGAGGAGGCACAGTGTGTCTACCTACACCTCCATCACAGGGGACTTATTGTTATAGCCTAAGTCCTACATTATTAAAACATTTCCAAAAAATAAGAACAGTAGAATACTAAGGGTGTCCTCTTTGAGGGACTATTTTCAGCCTGGAAAGGTCTTCAACAGGATGACACCTTTTCAATCAGAAGGGCAGCACCAAATATTATATGTCCTATGTTTTTTCACACACATACATACTTATAATAAAATGTAATTTATAAATTAGCACAGTAAGAGATGAACAATAACTAAAAATAAAAATAAAACATTTACAATGGAATACTGTAATAAAAGTTATGTGAATGACTTGGGGCCATTGTTAAGTAAAGTAAGGGTGACTCGAACACAAGCACTGTGATACCACAACAGTCAATTTGATCACCGAGACAGCTACTAAGTGATGAGCCGGCAGGGAGTGTCTACAGCCTGGAGATGCTGCACAAAGAGATGGTTCACATCCTGGGCAGGATGGAGTGGCATGGCATGAGATCTAATCACACTAGTCAGATGGAGCATGATTTAAAACTTAGGGATTGTTTATTTGTGGAATTTGTTATTTAATATCTTGGGCCATGGTTGGCTACAGGTAACTAAACCCACAAATAGTGAAACTGCAGAAAAGGGGGACCATTGCACTGAGGGTTTGTGGTCATCCATTTATGGAGATCCTTGTTGGTGTGAGTGTGTGGTTTTTCCCAGCCATCTTGGATGTCACAGAGAATGGCAGTAGTTGGCTTTTAAAAAAATGCTCTACAAAACTATACATATTTAGTGTATGTAATTTTATGAGTTTGGACATAGGTAAACACCTGTGATACCATCACCACTATCGAGGTAGTAGACATATCTAATGCCTCCTAAATTTTCCTTGTGTTCCTTTTTTGATGGTAAAATGTTTAACATGAGATCTGCCCTCTCAACAAGTTTTGAAGTGTACGATACCATATTGTTAACTACGCTGCCCAGCAAATCTCTAGAACTTGTACAGGATCATCGATGAGTCTGAGAAGCACAATATAGGGACTGACAGCTGAGAGCTCACAGGGCTCAGAACAACTCCTCACCACACCATTTCATTTGTTAATAAGGACATAGGTTAAACCATTTTATTTTATAATGGCTTGTTATGCAGCATTAGCTAGCTGATACAGTAATCCATGTGAACAGAACTGAGGGCAATTGTAATAATCTGCTACTTCCTATTTTAAAAAAATTTATTTATTTATGTTTTAGAGAGAGGGAAAGGGGAGGAGAAAGGGAAACATCAATGTGGGGGAGAAACATCAATTGGTTGCCTGTCATATGTGCCCTGACCAAGGACCAAACCTGTAACCCAGGCATGTGCCCTGAATGGTAATTGAACCAGCAACACTTTGCTTTGCAGAATGCTGCCCAACCACTGAGCCACATCGGTTGGGGTGTCTGCTGCTTCTTATTTTTGGCACTTATTCTGATATTTTTAACATCATTCCAGATGAGTCTGTTGTTTAAGTTAATTTCAGATAACTGAATTAAAAGTGACTGCAGTGAGCGGGAGGGACTCTGCAGACCTTGCAAGGACATGTATGCTTGTAAATTAAAACTGGTGACCATGAATCTATGAATAGGCAGTAATTTAAGTTTTCTTATGAGTCATTCCTGATCATGAAAACTGAGGAAATTCCTTTGTTTATAATGAATGATATTGTTCATTCATACCCCTTTGGTGTTTATGATGAAATTTAAAAAAGATGAGATATTTTATTTAGGGCAATGGAAAAGTCATATCTGTAGTATCACTGAAATTGTGTTTTAATTTTAATTTTTAAAAGACTTTATTTATTTATTTATTTTTTAGAGTGGGGGGCCTGAGGGAAGAAAGAATGGGAGGGAGAAAGAATGGGAGAGAGAAATATTGATGGGTTGCCTCTTGCATGCCCCCAAATGGGGACCTGGCCCGCAACCCAGGCATGTGCCCTGACCAGAAATCGAACTGATGACTTTTCAGTTCACAGGCCAGCACTCAATCCACTGAGCCACACCAGCCAGGGTATCATCACTGAAGGTTCTGAAGCAGAAACAGTAAGATAATTCCATGAGAAAGCATGACACCTGCTAACCAACCCTTTACAGTGATGACTTCCCCCACATCAACATTGGTATTCATACATCAGTAAGTAGAGGTACAGCTTGAAAAGAAACTTAATGCACAGTAATGTAAAGTATACTTTAATATTTGTTTAGTTGGAATCAAAGTGTTTGCTAAATCTGTTTATTCAAATTTCTGTTTCTATGTAGATGCCACTAGGAGACACATCTTTGACAAGCAGGTTTTGCCAGTGACTATGATAAGCAATGAGGACATAGAGCTGAATAAGACAACAGCATTCAAATGAGGAAAGTAAAACCCAATGTGTTATAAAACAAGCTAGTATGTTCAACTCCATGTTAGCAAGAATAGCAGTTAAAGTGTTGATAACAAAAGGAATGACAGACACAAAAGTAAAAAACTGTGGTCTCAAATTATCCTCATTTGAAAATTATAGAAATGGCCTAGTTGCCAAGCTTAGCTTTTTCATTGAAGTGGTAAAACTTATAGCTATTTTATTAGTAAAACTAAGGAGTTATTACATTGGTGATATTTTTCATTCTAGAAGAAATTTCTCTTGAGCAATCCAAGCAGTTTCATGAGATAAATGAAAACTTCGAAAAATTTCATATCCAAGATTGGGAATAAATTTGGAAAAACAGGAAGAAAAAAATTGATATCAAGGAAAACTATCAGATATCAGAAGAATAAATTTAAAGAAAGTGTTACTTAAATTGTACAGAGAAATTGAATAAAAATTCTAATAAATAAATGAAAGAAGCAATTAGTGTTTCTACAACCTGATTAAGAACTGCAAATTCTGACTACAAGGCTTTGGGTCCTATAATAATGGGGACTTCATCAACACTAGGACAATTGTCCCTTGCTTACCCACCATCCCAAAGAATCTTTTCAGAGCCCCCTTTATGTCTTTGTTCCTGAGGCTGTAGATGAAGGGGTTCAACATAGGTGTGACCACAGTGTACATCACTGAGGCAATTGCACTGGACTGTGAGTTTTGGGTAATAGCAGAGCTGAGATACACACCTAGGCTTGTACCGTAAAATAAGGAGACAACTGAGAGGTGAGATGCACAGGTGGAGAATGCTTTATACTTCCCCTGAGCTGATGGGATTGCTTGTATGGAGGACACTATCTTAGAGTAAGAGTAAAGGATTCCAGTCAGGGGACCACCAGCCAGTAGCACAGCTGAAAAATACATCACCATGTTGTTAAGAAAGGTGTCAGAACAGGCAAGATGGGTCATCTGACTGAGTTCACAGAAAAAGTGGGGGATTTCCAAAGCCACACAGAAGGACAGTCTCAAAACCATTAAGCAAAGCAGCAAGGAATTCAGGACACTGATGATCCAGGACACCAGAACCAGCAGTCCACAGAGCCAGGGGTTCATGATGACCATGTAGTGCAGGGGGTGACAGATGGCCACAAAGCGGTCATAGGCCATCACAGTCAGGAGGAAGTCATCCAACCCTGCAAAGAGTATGAAAAAATACATCTGTGTGATGCAGCCTGCATAGGTGATGGCTTTGCTCTGTGTCTGGATGTTCAGCAGCATCTTTGGGATGGTGGTAGAGGTGAAACAGATGTCTACCAAGGACAGGTTGGAGAGGAAGAAGTACATGGGTGTGTGCAGGTGGGAGTCTGAGCTGATGGCCAGGATGATGAGCAGGTTTCCCAACACAGTGATCAGGTACATGCAGAGGAATAGACCAAATAGGAGGCGCTGCAGTTCTGGGTCCTCTGATAGTCCCAGGAGAAGAAATTCTGATACTCTAGTAAGGTTCCCTGAATCCATGAGGTGGAGCTGACTTTCAAGAAGGAGAAAGAGAACAGGAGTAATTTTCATACACACCTGCCTTACTCACACAGCTGTAATGCTGCAGTTTATATTTTGCTGTTCAGAAATTAATTTCATATTTTGGAACAGATCTGTTCTGCTCCAGGAGTTTTCTGTGTCATCTCAGAGTAGGAATTTTTGTTCCAATCTGTTTTGTTCCATCTGTTTTTCTCCCTCCTGTCTGGTTACTGTCAATTTGTTCTTTGTTTCAATGTCTCTAGTGTATTTTGTTGCTTCTTTGCTTTGTTGATTAGGTTCGAGTCGTAGGTGAGGTCATATGGTATTTCTCTTTCACCACCTGGCTTATTTCAGTTAGCATAATGTTCTCCAGTTCCATCCATTTCTTTCTGCTGTGTAGTATTCTGAAGTTTTAATGAGAAATATATCACGTATCAGGAATACAAATTGAGTGCTGACTGTGTTTTTGGCACTGTCTGGGCTGTGGGTGGAGGTGCTGAAGAACACAATCCCTACACATCAATACTGGGGAAAGAATATGGAAGCAAATAATAGAAATAAATTTAACATTACAGATGGTAACAGATCCGATGGAGAAAATGAAAGCAGGTCTAAAGGAGAAAGTTACTAGGCTGTTCCATTTTTCATGGGTTTTTAGGCAAGACCTGCCAACAAGTTGACATTTGAGCCCAGAACTCAACAGAGAGAGGGAGAGAGATCAAACTTATGTGGGCAAGTGCGTGCCCAAAGGAGGGAATGGTCAGTGCCAAGGCCTTAGGGAGAAGCTGTGGGGGTTTAGTGATTTATTCAAAGTTGATAACAGAGTATGTGATGGGCCTTGGTTATAATTTTTTCAGGTTACTTCTAGTCAGTGGGTCTCAACCAGAAATGATTTTGCCCCCACACTATCTGGCAATGCCTGAAGGGATACTGCTCAACACCTGCAATTCACAAGAAAGTGCCTTTCCCCGACCTCAGCCCCCTCAATTATTTTCCAGCCTCCAAAGTCAATAGTAAGAGGGTGAGAAAACCTGTTCTGTGGAAGCACTTCAATCAACTTCAGTATGCCTATGAACCAACAAGGATCCCACCAGAAATGCAGAATCTGATTCAGCAGGTCCTATTGTGCTCAGAGATTCTGCATTTCTGCCAACCTCCCAGGTGGTGTTGACGGGGCAGGTCCTGGTCTGTGGACTGCTGTCTGTGCAGCAAGGCTGTGGTTCTGTGTTAGGGTCAGGTATAGTGTGTTAGGTCTCATGACCCAAGTAGTGTTTTCGCCTGTAGTTTTGAAGGAGTAGTGTATTCACTCCCTCCAGAGACTGTAAATTCTGAATCCCTGAGACAAAATTTCAATGCACTTCTGAAAACGACTTTGTAGTGAGTAGAAAAAAGGCCTCCAAAGATGTCCAAATCCTAATCTCCAGTACCTTGGAGTGAATTTTTTTTTTTATAGTAAGGGGGGATGAGGTCAGCAGATGGAACAGGGCTGCTAATCAGTTGACTCAAAAATCAATTCATTGATTTTTAGAGGGGAAGGGAGGGAGAAAGAGAGGGAGAGAAATATCAGTGTGTGGTTGCCTTTCCTGTGCTCCCTACTGGGGACCTGGTGGCAACCCAGGCATGTGCCCTGACTGGGAGTTGAATCAGTGACCCTTTGCCTCACAGGCTGGCACTCAATCTACTGAGCCACACCAGCCAGGGCTAATCAGCTGACTTTAAGGTAGAAGATGATCAGGATCATCCAGGGGCAGTAAGGTCAGTCAGCACACTGCTCTCCTAGATGCAGAGGGCGAGACCAGGAGAAAATGCGACACTGCTGGCTTTGACGAAGGAGGAAGGGCCCAGAGACAAGGAATGCAGGTGGTCAGAATACAAAGTGGAGATAAGGAGAAAACAGAGTCTCCCCTGAGCCTCTAGTAGGAACTCAGTCCTGCAGGCACCTTGAGATTAGCCAGTGAGCCATTCCAGGCTTCTGATATCTGGACTTGTTATAGCACATAATGGTTTCTTTTAAACAGCTACTGTGGAAATATTTACAGCAGCAATAGAATCTAACAATAAACTGTGTTGATGGAACAGAGTTTCAGCTTCTCGATTTATTCATTAGTTTGCTTAGGTAAGGGCATTTTATGTTGAAAACCCACATGAAATAGAAAAGATATTTTAAATTGATTTGCACATTTGCCACCCCAAGAGCTGGTGCAAGGAAGTCCTCATTGCATAAATGTAAACATTGAGAACTATGATGGCTTTGCATTAGGAAGATTTAAGGTCATACAAAGTGTGACCTTAAATAATCCATCACTTAATTATAAAAAATTTGTTTCTCAGCACTGAGTGCTCGTTGCCTAGAGCTTGGTCAGTCCTCAGTTTATATTCCCCAAGTGCATGACAGAATTTCTCACTCACAAAATAGAATAAAGCCCACTGGGGGAACAGTCTGAGTGTGGGATAGAAATTCTTATTAACTGTTCCAACAGAGAAAGTAACTGAGTAACAAATTCTAAAATACATGCAGCCTCACGAGATATGAAATCATTGACATGAAATTATTTAGTGTTCCTTTTTAGACTTATTAAATATTTCTCATGTGAATACACAGCATGAGAGAAGATACTACAATGTCTGTCTCACTAACTGCTGCTGCAAGGTGCTGTCTACCTCCCCTGGTTGGATCTTTTCAATGAATACACAACATGCTCAAATGCACTGTGTCCTAGATATTTATTACAGACACTCACTTCACTGCACTGCTCTCCACCTCTAATACTTTATTCCTTCTCCCTGAATAAGACCACACATCACGAATGTTTTCATTTCACTGCAACAATCTTGTAGCTCTCACTCATTCTACAGTGTCTTCCAACTGGATTCCCACTCACACCACTTAATTGTCAAACATGGTCCTTCTGTTGCAGACTCAAACAGCATTTAATGTATTACATAAATTATTATAAATCAATTACTTGACCAGGAATACAGACATGGTGATCTCTGGTCTTGGGGCTCAGCTGATTAGGTTTGCAGTGCCTCAGGTAAAAGTTCTCAGGCTCCAGCCTCTCTGACCCTTTCCTGATGTACCTACCAGGCTCTCAGATCACCTTGGATGGGTTTTCTGAAAGGAAGGTCTCCGTGTGCCAGTCAGAATTGCTCCCTGGATGGTGGGTGATGGACACTGAAGTTTTGTCTCACCGAAGGCAGCAGGGAGGAGCGAAGTATCAGTTCCTGAGCCAGACTTAGGAATCACAGTGACAACCATGTCCCATACACCAATGTTGCAAAAGCTTAGGGACTGCACAGGGGAGAGATTTACAGCTCTCTCTATATCTGCATATCAGACAAATTTCCCTCGTGTTATTCCATCCTCTGAGCATGTGGTTTCCCTCTGGGCCTCTGGAACAAACAGAAAGGAAATTTTTCCTAATGATTCTTTGATCCCAAGAAACCAGGTTGGAAGTCTAGTGAATTTAATTTTTATGACTCTTTGTCTTGGATCTCACCTGCTTCCCAGAGGTCTAACCTATTACCTTATTCCCAACCCTGACTTAGCATTACCACCAATGTCTGAGACTAAGGAACCCATCAGAAACAGGTCTCATTGACCCTTAAAGCACTGATTTGTGGTGGGGACACAACCCTGATGTCTGCAGAGCGTTGCTATCCCCCTTCAATGAGGGGGGAGCTGGGTTCTTTGACGTGCAGTCCTGCCCACCACACTCTTTTCCACACTCTGACACATTTGTCAAAATAATTAGGGATTTTGTACATATTTCATAAACTCAGAGCTGTCATTAAGTGCATCATTATAAAACATCTGTGAATGATAAGAGATATGTCTTGATAGTTTAATGCCAAGTTAACTGAACTTAGTAACTTATAGACATTGTCTGATTTAATTTTTTGAAAAGCCCATTCTATGAGGTATTACTATTATGAACTTCATTCCCATTTTCAGAAATCAGCCTTTAAGGGGTTTATAGTTTGCTCAAAGCTATGAACTAAGTGTGCTCAAAGTTATGATCTAAGTGAGAGATGGGCCTTGTCAGGTTGCTTCCAGTTTTCAAACTCTGGGCCAGTGGTTCTCTACATGAGATGATTTTGCCCCTGGATATACTTGGCAATGTGTGGGGGGAGGCTGCTCAGCACCCACACTACCCAACAGAAATAATGATCCCACCCCTATTGTCAACATGAGTAGGTGAGAAAGCCTAGTCCAGATCACCTCTCCTCCAACTTCAAGGTGCATATAAGTCACTCAGGCTTATAGTTCAAATGCAGGTCCTGGTGGGCCCAGAGGTTCTTTGAATCAAATGAGTTCTCAGGCAGTGCCAATGCTGCAGGTGCTGGTCTGTGGACCATATTTTGTAGTAAGGTTGAACCTGTGTTAGAGTCAGGTATAAGTGGTTTTAGGTCTTCAGAACTGAAAATCATTTTGCATGTATAGTGCATACTCACTCATTCCGAAGCTGTTATAAATTCATTGTTTAATTATTTTATATAAGGATTAATGAATGACATCATATAATATACTTCTGAAAAATACTTCATTTGATTCATTTAAGTAAGGGCCCTTGTGTGACATCATAGAATATATTATTGAAAAATATTTTATAGTAGGCAGAATAAGAGCCTCTGAAGACATCCACATCATAATCCCCAGAAACTATGTAACTTTTCATTGCAAGGCAGAATTAAAGTAGCACATGAGATAGTTTGGCTCATTGACTAATTTTAACATAAGATGGGAAGGTTGGTGTGCTTGAAGTTGTTCCAGAGGCCCCTTGTGCTATCCTCATTTTTTTATATTCTTTTTTCTTCTTGGTGATCTGATTGAGTGTTTTTTCTTCCTTATATTTCAAGTCACTGATTTGATTCTTGGCTTCACTGACACTAGTGTTGATTTTCTGTCAATCATCCTTTATTTCAGTTAGTGAATTCTTCATTTCTGACTGCCTCTCTTTTATACAGTTGAGGTCCTAAGTTCATTGAGCATCCTTATA